GCCTCCCTGTTGTTAATTGTAGTTACTCAAAAGTATACCTGGATGAAAATTCTCTAACATCAAATAATTTAGGGTAAAATACTCCAGGATCCAATTATCAAAATGAAAGATTTAGAAGGTGTATATTTATACTGCATTTTGGTGGGTTTATTTTTTAAAAGCTTTGAAGACATGTGAGGGAAGATTCACCTGTGCTAGGTAATAATTAGCTAATTGTTTATGATAGGTATATACATCCATACACCTGTACATTACCTTACCATATATCATGCATCAGATACCCTTTTTCATATTTTACATCTTTAAGAGAGAGCTTCATCCACACCTCTATTTATCTGAAATAATCCTTTGATCTAGAAATACAAAATCAAGTTAGGTCTTTCAAGACATAGCTACAGAATGAAATGCAGACACTCATATTTTTGTCTATTTAAACTATTATATACATGGCATTAATTTCGTCAGAGGGTTGTTACTACTATATGCGTTTTGTGTCCCAAGGGTAGTCTTCCATTCACTTGGATCCCAAAACAGTCTTGACTTTGCACACCATGTTATTAATTAATTTCTGTAATAATGGATATTTTAGCATACCTGAGTTCCCCTGCCCTTCCACAGGTGTAACATTCTTGATTGTTCCTATTAATATCATATTTGTTTGTGTATTGGCATTTGCCTGCATAAATCATTATATGGTGGACTACCATAAGGAGAAACAAGTGAAGATGGGTTACAGTTTTGACTTTGATGCTTTTAAAATACTATTGTAAAATGAAGCTTTTTATGAATTTTATCACTGTTTTTTTTTTATTTACTTTGAATGCGAAATGTAACATTTTGATTTTCTGACTATATATTGTCTAATGATTGGCCATTAGCTAAAGCAAGGAATTATTGCAAAATGTACAGATAAGTTGAGTTTTTGTAGAGAGTTAACAGAAAGTAATACTGCAGGCAGGATTCTTTGTTCCTATTTTCATCTGTGAGTAAACATAGTTTAACATAAATGGTCAGATGAGCAAAAGCAATTTCTTCATTTCTTTCATCTTGGATGCTTATATTATATCTGTACCTTCATAGTAAAAATCTTCCATAAGGATTGTCAGGTGCCCAGGTGAGTGATACAGGTTTAGAACAGGCTCATTTCACCTGTTAGGTCATAACAGTTGCATCCTTGGCTCTGCTTCATAGATTCAAGAAAAGAATGCTCTGTAGTAATTACCTGTCAAGGTAAGTTAGCTTCTCGTTAACTGAACAGCCAGGTATAGTAAGGTACGGCTCAGGTGTATGCTTTGAAGGTACCTTCTGCACCTGTAGTGCATGTTTTCTGTACATGCTCAAAACAGGTGAAGGCATATATTTTGAATCTTGATGCTGAGATTCCATACAGAATTTAGTAAAACTGAAACATAATCTAGGAAAAAGGACTACAAATGATGACCTTAGATTCTTGCTCCTTTACATGATCAAGTCTCCTGATTTCTTTGGGTGATTTCTAATAAATGCAAATCTGAATTTGGTCTTAGAATGCAGCAGCACCTGATGTCATTCAATCAAGCAGTTTAATGCTACCATGGCGCCAGAGTCTTCAGAGTACACAACATGGCGACCCTCACAATGCTGACATCTTCAAATAATAGCATAAAATATATAACTATAAGAAAATAAATCTTGAAATCCTATCCTTGTATTTTGGATTCAGTTAGAGATTATATAAGTTAGATTTAAAAAAGTAGGTTTTGGCATCATCCAGAAATAGGGTTAGTGTTGTTAGGAAGGGTAGATTTATTGGGAGTTTGGTGAGGGTTTATATAGTCACAGGAATGTACTCTTCAATTGTTTGTTATTCTATATAATGTCAGGCTGGCTCAGGTTCTCAGGGCACAGCGGGTATAAAGGTCAGAACCAAAGTTTTTTATTTACAAAATCAACCAAAAGGTAAAACTCATGTTTACATGCTAAATCTTTGAACTAATTTTTGTAAGGTTTTAAAAGAATTTAGTTTTTATTTCACCCACTCCCTCTGCATTTTTGCATATTCCTGTATATATGTCTTCAGAAATCCTGATCAGATAATGAGAAAGTAGAGGAAGTAGATGTTTTGATTATTTTTAATGAATATTTAATTGTTATATATTAAGTATGTAGGAGTTATGAAACTTCTTTCACTATGAAGAATCTGCAGTTTCCATTTTATCATCATTTCGGTCATACTTTGATATTTCATTTCAGTTGAGTTACAATATGATTTTCATTTTTTGTTTATCTAAACAATCCCAGAATATATGAAATGGTTTAAAAAAGACCTATTACATATATATATATATTGTTGGCCTAGACACATCTGTCTGTCCGTCTGTATGTCCGACAGTTTTCTCCTAAACTGCTAGAGATGCCATCTTCAAATTTTCAGGGATAACTAAAATCCTTGTCTGCAAACTTTAAGAAAACGGCTTTTCAGATGCTTTTAAAACTTTAAAATCTTGTTCAACTCACTTCATTCTACATCTGATTAGGTTTTGCACCTGTTAGCTCAGTCATGACAGCCATTTTGAATGTCTTAAGAAAAGTTGGCGGGCGATAATACTTTGTATCATTTTGAATGATGAATGATGTTTTTGAGTTTTCATACTTTTAACTATTTAGTAGCTTTATAAATAATTTCAGGTGTACTTGGTTAACAGTAGTTATATGTGATAATTTTGTAAAAAGAAATCAGCAAAAACTTGCAATCACTTTTTTATTGTCAGCCATTTTGGATTTTTCCATCCTAAAATCTTGTCTGTAAAGTCTTGTCTGCGCGTTTTCAGGTGAACCGTTTGGTAGATCAATTTCAAAGTTTCAGGGATGATTCTTAGTATGAAAATCTAGATCTGATTAGTTTTTTTGGCATTCTGAATAAATGACAAGTCAGCCATTTTGGATTTTCCGTCCTAAAATCTTGTCTACGCGCTTTCAGGTGAACTGTTCGGTAGATCAATTTCAAATTTTCAGGGCTGATTCTCAGTACAAAAATCTAGAACTGATTAGTTTTTTGGCATTCTGGGTAAATGTCAAAGCAGCCATTTTTGATTTTCCGTCCTAAAATCTTGTCTGTAAAGTCTTGTCTACGCGTTTCTGGTTAACTGTTTAAACGGATCAATTTCAAATTTTCAGGACCGGTTCTTAGTATGAAAATCTAGAACTGACTAATTTTGGGGTATTCTGGGTAAATTTTAAGGTGGCCATTTTGAATTTTCCGTCCTAAAATTGTGTTGGTAAAGTCTTATCTACTCATTTTCAGGATAACCATTTGACGGATCAATTTCAAATTTTCAGGGATGATTTTTAGTATGAAAATCTCGATCTGATTAGTTTTTCTGCATTCTGGGTAGATGTTAAGGCAGCCATTTTAGATTTTCTGTCTTAAAATCTTGTCTGTAAAGTCTTGTCTATGCATTTTCAGGTTAACTGTTTGAGGGATCAATTTCAAATTTTTAGGAATGATTCTTAGTATGAAAATCTAGAACTGATTACTTTTTCGTCATTCTGCGCAAATTTTAAGTTGGCCATTCTGGCTTTTCAGCCCTAAAATTGTGTCTGTGAAGGCTTGTCTACTTATTTTCAGGATAACAGTTTGACGGATCAATTTCAAATTTTAAGGAATAATTTATAATATGAAAATCTAGAACTATTTAGTTAATCGGCATTCTGGGTAAATGTTAAAGCAGCCATTTTGGATTTTCTGTCCTAAAATCTTCTCTGTAAAGTCTTGTCTTTGCGTTTTCAGGTTAACCATTTGAGGGATCAATTTTATTGCAAATAAATAAAACCAAAATCAATTTTTAATTTTCAGGAATGATTCTTAGGAGGAAAATCTTGCCTTTTCAACTGATTAGTGGCAGGCATTCAGGTTGAAAAATTTGCAGTATATAGGATCATCCATTGGTGGAGACATGTTGTACACATTTGTGTTCTTGCATTGGTTTAATATTTTTAAGGCATTCAAGTCAAAATCATAAATATTGATGATGAATGTTTGTTAAATAGAAAGCAATGGTTGTTAGTAGTTGACAAGGTTATATAACGACAAAGAAATGGGGATTGATGGTAAACAGGTTGTTAGGTGGTCCTCATCCCTGAGTTACTCTCCCCTTTAGTATATATTTCATCATTTTCACAATACTTCAAATTAATATGTAAAAGAAAAGTGATGGTGTAATTTGTAAAAGGGAAAAATCTCTGTCAAAGTCGAGTTTGTTTTTGTTGTTGTTAAAAAAGGAAAAATATCAACATGTACAGGTAGAGTTCTTCACAGGAATTGTACCCGCCAAAAATTCCTCTGTGCAACTTAACACCTCAACCTGTTCACATTGACTTTCATTCTCTATAGGTACCAGATCTGATAAAGCCCTTGTAAATGTACTATGACAGTAGGTAAGATGAGTACATTTGAAAGGTAAGTGGTTGTCGCTATGAAACATTAAGCAGCTGATGGGGTTCTGGTCCAGGGGTGCTTTCTGTGACAGCAGCTAGGAATACCTGCGTATTGTGGGAAAATCCAGAAAACCAAACTCCAAAGTCATACGTTTTATTAACACCAGATGGATAAATGACGACAAAACAAAACTGTTCTATGATCATAAACTTTCATCTTTACACCGATCTGGTTTGAATTAAAAAGCTGGTATGTTCTTTACCAACCTGCTAGAAGTTACACGTTTCTCATTTCTACCCTAAAATGACAATAGATATTTTTATTATCAGAGTGAAAGGATATTGGCTTATTAAATAATTGCTATTAAATAGAAGATAATAGAGGTACTATCTAAATCAACACAACTACCAACTCCTATAACAATTATCTTTTATTAAGCTGTCTATTATTACAAAGGTATATTTCCAATAATTGTTTTCAAACCGATTGGTGGATAGGTTAATTAGAGTAGATCTCCTATTGGCTGATTGATCGCCGGGAGCTGAAGTTTGTTAGATAAATCCCAAGACTTGCTCACTGTCACCAATAGGTGTGTTTGTTTCTCAGAGTGGATCTGGAAGCTGTAATCTGAGCTCCAAGGTAGACTAATCACCAGGTCCAGCCTTGCTAGGATTTCCTATAGGGATTAACACTTGATCTAGTTAGGTTCTTATGTAGAGGTAACGTCAACCGTTGAGAGAACAGAGCAGAGAGGCAGCCACTAGACACACAGATTAGTTAGTGTAAAGAAACTGTGAGAACACATCTTAGGTGTATTAGGACACATCAAAGTATGCAACTTCCTGCATGCTGGACATATAATTGAATATTCACGATTTGATAGTCAGTCAATTTGGAGGACATTATATAGACATTATTAATTCTGTCTGATTCTATGGAGACTAATATTTTGAACAGAAACAATAACAACTAGAAACCAGAAAGGGTAAGTTGAATATTACAACCACATGTTAATTCAGAAATTTGTGAATTTAGTTGGTTTTAGTTATCAACATATAAATGATAGCAATTGATAATGAATAAATATGATGGTTTTCTGGAATTGAAATTAGACATAATATGGTTTTATATATTAAAGTGGCACTTGTTTTTATTCAAGTCTGTACATATGTATGAAAGGAGTAAGTAGTAGGGAAAGTATGGGAGTAACCTCAAACAACTATTCAATCCATTTCTAAAGTAAAACATAATTTGGCCTGATTTTGGAATGTTTGAAAACATATTTATATGAATTATTTTGTGAGAAATCTTAGATTCAGAAATAGATCTCAATGATTGCTTATTGAAACTGAAAGACATTCAAAGCCAAAATATGTGGAGGAAAGATATGAAATATTTGTAAATATATAGAGGATGAATATCATTTCTTTTTACTGTGTACTGTGTACAAAAATAGAACAACATAGGCAATTGATTTTACCTAATTTAGATGTAGTGAAAATTTTGTCAACCTCATTTCTAGTACTAATACAACTTTAAAAGACACATAAGAATATTTATTTACCACTCATTCAAGAATCTAGAATAGTATATCTGTATTTTTAGTTTTGGTAGTGTTTATAATTTTGATATATAGTTTTTTCTATAGTTATGACTAATGTTAACATGTTATGATAATATGTTTCATTCAAAGTCATACAGGTTGTTACAACACACTGTTAGGATGGTTTCTGGAAAATCAAATTAAAATAAAAGTTTAAACAATTGACCAAATCAAATGTGACTGTTATTTTCTAAGAAAGTTTGAAGGTTAAGGCTGGCAAAGTAATTAATGACAATGTTACATTAGTGTACAGTTGAAACTTGACCCCACCTGGTGTCATGATGGAGCCCAGACCAGAATCAAGCACTTGCATAAGTACCAGTTGTATAAACACGACTATAGCGTGGGTAATTAGGGCAGTAACTAATCATCTCTGACCCTAATGGTGCCTGAACCTTTCTCAGATACTCACATACTGATAGCAAAGCCATGTTTTTCTAATGTAATCTAAGCTTTTTCTTTGCTCTATTTGATAATTGTTTTTGCACTTTAGTTTCTCTAGATTAAGATTCCAGTTCATTGTTTATATAATTGAAATCAGGTAGTGCCGATAATAATAGAATGGTATGCAGTTTCTCGATTTGATAACATATAGTTTCTCTTAAAAAATCAAATGGAATAAAATGTTTTTGGCTGTGTTATATTTCAAATCCCAGGTAAGAACATCAAAAGAACTGTTCTACTATTTTATCCTTTCCTTGCATCTGGTTGCTGTTGAACTCGACAAGATATCTCTTCAATTTGGTACAATAGCCATTTGTAACTCCATTAAACCATCACCCACTCAAACTCAGCCAGGTATCGTAATCTTGGTACCTTCAGGTGAAACGATATCAATTTTATAAAAAGGTTGGAGAAATATGGTTACGAGTGCGTAAGAATGTTAGCGAGGTTCCTTTACACAGGTGAGACTAGTTTATGGGTGTAACATCAAAGACCTCAGACATACTTACCTAACACTTACCTGTAATCTTACCTTTTTAGCTAGTCTTTGATATACACCTTTCAACGATTAACTAAGATAACAAGCGAAGGGATGGCGCTATCTGCCGCAGCTTTATGAAGCTGTTGTTTTTTCTCTAAATGTCATATGGGGAATTTTGTGTTGATTATGTTGCAAAGAATACTGATCCAATCAGCAATCAGCGCTGAGGCTTGTCTCAATCTGAGGTGTTACTACCGTCAAGGTAGCATTTAAGGGAGAACTCTCTCTGTGATTAGCATACTAATCCCAATGGGGATTATCCTATCTCTATTCTAATTTAGCTCTCATAAAGGTGAAGCCATTCGCTCTAATCAAGAAAAGTGACTCATGTTGAGAGATGCTGTAGCACCTTGACACAAATTTATAGGTACAGTGCCTTGCACATGAATAAGTTAGCTGTTAGGTGGGTATATCAATGGGCTGTGGATGCTGAGAGGAAGGTAGAAGGAAATACCATTGAGATTTATCCTACCACATTGTATATCAGATATCACGCATGGAGAGTGGTTTTAGTAAAGACTGTAAAGAAACAATGATTTTGGCGCTTATCTATGAGGAAGACATCAGAATGTTTCTCTCAGAATATTGTTGAGCTATGTCAAATGACGGAACTGGATAATTATCAGAAGGGAGTTTTATTACGGATATAAGCATGGAGGCTGGGAGTGACTGTGTGAAACCTGAATTGAGACAAGGTGCATATGGATTGTAAACAAGCTCATTGGGAGTTCTAGTATTTCTCTCATTATCTGAACATTTCTATTTTCAAGACATGGACAATTTAGTATGTAAACAAACACACAAAGGCAGAAACTATGATTTTGTTTGTTTCAATGTCTTTATTTGATTATTCATGATTACAAAAAGTCAAGGTGTTTTTATTATTTTGCTTAAAATCATATATTTTTGATAGGAATTAATTGTCTTCTCGCAGACAATGACAATATTGACAGAGAGCTTTCATTATATAAGTGTGGCATTTCACATGCATGAATATTTCAAGTAAACAATGAATAAAGTTTAAAATAAATAGATATCTTAAATATTACATAAACAGCTTAGCGGACAAATAAATAAGTAAAGTTGAAAAATAAATAACTTAATATGTTTATCTTTATATTTACAGAAGCTGAAGATAACACTCAGAAAGATTCTAAGGAAAACATGCAACTTGATGCCAGAGAGTCTGATGTAACAATTGATGAATGCCATGACAACAATGAATTAACAGATCACCATGACAACCACCCATCTCCCGTATCTAACACACATAAACCACAAAAACATATTCTAGGTAAAAAAATTATAATTCTTATCGCTACCATTATAAAAACACAAACCTAATGCTTTACATATTAAAATTGGAAGTTACCTAAATGAGCACATAATGATGTTGCTTGTACATTACCCAGATGGTCATATCAGATCGCAGAAAAGCATACATCTGGACGAAACAGAAAGTAAGATGTAAAAACAGGTACCAAGTTTGATTAGTGTTTCACTTGGATCCAATTATGACTTAGTCATTGTCTAAATTAATTTCAAGCCAGCTAACACTGAGCAATTAATGCGTTACTGTTCTGGAACTGAAACAGTAAGACAATAGCACCAAGATATATATTTAAATAATTGACTTTCAGAAGAAGATCAGCATTAATTGCTTAAGCCTTTTAGTTTGTAATAGCACAATGATAGATAGCAGTACTCGCTTGCAGGTTTCTAAATCTTGTAATAGGACGTTGCTGTCAGTCTCCGTTAGTTTATAGGATTCTAATGTATTTGTACCGAAACTGAATTTTTCAAATGTATTATTAGAGGACTTGATTGATAAACATGGTCAATTATTTCGCTATTTTGAAAACAATAATTTCTAACAATTAATCTTATCTTTAAGGATGTTGTGATTTTCACTTCAAATTTTGAATCAGGAGTTGTGATTATAAATTTATAACCAGTTTAATGATAATAACAACATTCTGATATTATCATTGTTGGAAAATATTGAGTTGCATTCCTGGGAGCTAATCCTCCTTGGTTGTTTGTATTATTCTTTTTTAAATGAAAATTGCTCACTTTTTTCTCTTTACCAGGTATGTGATAAATTGTGATGCATTTGAATGATCATTCTAAATAGGGGATATATGGAACCGCAATAAAATCAATGAATTCCTATCTAGTCACATTGCTATCTACCTTGATGTAATCCCCACATCCTTCTCTGCAATACACCTCACTGTAGAAGAGCAAGAAATATGCAGAAATATGCAAGACTAATTTTGACATGTGCTGAAACAGTGAAAATAATCAGGCTCTTGTTTTATGTGTTAATATCATGGCACATTCCTGCTAGTCCATCACATTGGTTTGGCACCTGAGTTTTGTGCAGGGCTTCATGAGACAGCCAAATAGACTAATCAAGTGATGATCTTATTCAGTTTTGTTTGCTGTCGGTTGGATGATTAATGGCCCTGTTTCTTATGGATGACAGAACCAGCACGTCTTACCATTTTAATTGAAACTGGAACACAGGCTTTATAAGGCCAGAATGTGGATGAGGCATAAGCATTAGCTGTTTCACCTTTGTAGAGTGTCTATAGATCTAATCATGGTTATTTTTGGTTTATATCTCAATTTATTCGACTGTTTTATTGTTCGATGCAATTTCCCTGTTATTTTTATTTTCACCTTAATTTTATTGGATAATGTCATTTCTGCTTCTCACCTCATGGTGAATATCCCTAGATGACATTTATGATTCGACTATATTGCAGTATGTCTCTATTATAGCAAATAACATAGGTAGTGATATTAATGACAAATGTAGGATATATGAGTGACACGGGGTAATATAATAGGGACTTAACTAATGAGTTTGGAATAAAAACTTATTCAAATATCACAAACTATGGGTCATTAGTTTTCTATAGAATGGCAGTTAAAATACATATTGAGTTACCTTCTATGTTATGACAAGGTAATGAAACAACCTTTCGTGATATTTTGATAAACTTTACAATATAGATTATAATGATGTTTTACATGATAAGATTACTTCCCTTAAGAATGTCTCAATAATTTGATTAATTTCCAAAAATTAACTAATTAAAGTAAAATAATGCATGACATGAAAAGCCAAATGAGCAGTTTTTGAAAACAAAGCCAATTTAGCAAGGTAGTAGGAAAGAACATTTTCCGTAATCTAATTGTAAGCGACTCTGCAACATGGCATATTAATTCCTGTAGCGTGTATACCTCACTAGTACCTTTATACCTTGATGTCTCACTGTGGGATGGCATTATAGTAAGATACATTTAGCTAGGCCTACTAGACAGAGACACTTATGTAGCATACTTTAAGAAAATGATTTTCTGTTTTAAGCAGTCTGATTTTTATTATTAAGATGTACGTAATAAGAATTTCTGTAATTCATGGCCATATGTGATACAATGAGTGACGTGCATTGTTCCATACTGCAATCACTGATTTGGGCCATACGTCAGAATATAATATGACATTCTTTCTTCATTGCAGCAGATACCACTGAAAGCGAACAACGTGAGGACACTAACGATTTAAATAAACATTCCCTAACAAGTGAACAAACAAACGCAACTATGGATACCAATAAGAGCACACAGAATGATGATGAACTCACCAAGACTACACAAGAGGAAGGTCAGGAGAATGCCAACAGGGCTTCTGCCCCACAGAGTGAAGAGGAAAAGATTCAGGAACTGATGGGAAGGTCAGATACTGCAGTGATCTACCCTGAGCCCGTTGATGATGAGGGCAGAGACAATGAACAAGGCCCAGCAACTCCTGATCACATCAATACAGACAACATAGAAGGTGAGAACACTTTCATTTAGATTTATAAAATTGTCATTGCATTCAGAGTTTAGCTATGCTTTATATCAATTTAACTTTAATCTTCTGCAAGCTTCAATCCCATAGGGACAAGGATGTTAATATTGTGCATACGGGCCATAGATAATACTTTCCTAAAAAAGTCTTTCAGGAAATCTTTAATTAATTATCATGTTCTCTTCAATAGAATTATTGCCTTAAGGATCAACCAAATGTTGTTTTACTTGTTTAATTAAAGGAAAATGCTCAAGTGTGCCCCTTCCAATGTATGACAAAGTGACATCATGCAACCTAAATACTCTCTGCATATCCTAGGAAAATGTCTTTAACACGTTAAATGAAAATTATATGTTGAACAGAGAAAAAAGCATGGAACAAAATAAACAGATGTCAAAGTCTTGATTTGATTATTGCAAAAAACATGCTCTTAAATATATTTAACATTCATTTTTTGAGAATCCATTGTCAGGTTTTTATAATAAAGAAAATCCGAATAATATTTTTTGAGTCCTTCTTTTATACAGAATTCTACCCTCTTATATCAGTGTTAAAATTCAAAGTGTTGTTTCAATCAAATATTAATGTAGAGTTGATGATTTATGGTTTTGAGGCTCTAAAACGTTTTGTTCAGTTTAATAATTCATTCTGTTTTAATGGTTGCATTACCTTTAATTAAGAGTGGATTATAATGCGATCACGGGTGTGAAATCTAATAGTGCTGCATAGCTGTGCCAGATGGTGCTATTAGGTTACATTATACATTAAATCTATGTCTGGGGACTTGTGATTCCCTTGGTGTAATCAGGTAAAAGAAAGTTCAATTGTCTAATATCGCCACCTGGGCCTAGGCAACAGGGACTCCTAAGGACTCATAGGGACTAACAGCTCAGATCAACTCACAGACATCTCTTAATTGTAAAGAAACACGGGGGAAACCATTTATACACTTTAATGGCTTGTAGTTTGAAAAATTGAGATATTCATGTTAATATGTAATAATGATTAATTCGAGATCATAAATTGGAGAAAAATTAATATGCTTATTTTTTAAGAAGTCTGGTTTTTTGTGATATATTCGTAATCAGTAAATACAAAAAATAATTAATATTGAAGTAAACAGTAAAGATGACCCCCTTCCCCGCATTCAAATACTGGAACAGAGAATATGTAAACTACAAGCTAAAGTTCTATTAAGTGATGTAAATCTCATATTCGAACTTGACTGTATTCACGCCTTCTATAAACTGTAAACAAAGTCAACATTTCACCCGGGGTATATTCGCGAACAAAACCCCTGGTAATATGTGTGATGTGTGACGTCATAACGGTGGGCCGTAGTAATGGCGGACCATAATGAATATTCGAAACATTTTGGTGAGTTTTCATGTTCGAATCGTGATATAGACCTCAGAGCTTCGGTCGTTTGGGGTACAGAAAACGTTTGTGCCTAGCCCTGCGAGGTGTATTCAACAATATTACCCCTGCTCTTCGGTCTATATTTCTTAAATGATTTATGAGATTTACCACAAATTGATAATGATTTGTTTGATGCATTAAATTGAAAATTCAATTTAAAAAATCTTTATCGTGCAAACATTCATACTTTCCAACTGTTCTATTTGGTTGAAAATAGATAGTAAATAAAAACCCTAAACTAGATTGAAAAATTGAAAAACCAGATATTGAACCAGTTAATGAAAGGTTGTGTAATATATGTAAATGTGTGGAGGATGAATTTCATTTTATCATAAATTGTACAAAGCATTCTCAACACAGGCAAATATTTTTCAGTAAAATTTCTGAAATATTACCAACATTTGACTTGAATAGTAACGATATATTTGTAAATATAATTTCTAATGATAATATCATCTTCCAACGACATCTTGGTAAATTTATATACCATTCATTTAACAATTTAGAATAATCAGCAAAATTTGTGCATCACACTTTAAAATATTTTGCCTTTCTTGTATGCTTTCTGTAAATATATCAAATCATGTATATTTTTATAAAGATGTAGTTTTAGTAAGTAGTTTAGTAGTAGATAGTAGTTTTAGTGAGTAGTTTATGACTAATGTAATCATGTTATGATACAATATGTCAATAAAAGTTATATATAACTATTTGTGAGGCCAAAATAAATTCAAGTCTTCAGATCTCAAATTATAATTTTACTGTAACTTGTGATCACATGGTCCATGTTGTAGCAGTGTAGTCATCTCACATGACAACCTCACGCCTGATGATGGTGGCACATCCCAGGTGACTTAACTTATGCCTGAAATAGCCATCTGCTGATTGTTATTTCATGTTATTTCTCACTAAAGTTGGCATGAGCTACCTGATGTTCTTGCATATTCTTGCAAGTATTCATGACCATATATTTTATTTATTTATTTATTTCTAATTCCTCTCTTTGTTACCTAATTTTACATTCTAAAGCATGATAAACATGACATTTTTCCTGTATGCAGCCACTCAGTGTATTATGTGATGAGAAAGCACAAGGTGTTATATCTCATCAAATAAATTGTTTTATTGCCAAAGTGCATGTTTGAGCTCCAGTTGCGAGTCAATCAGGCAACATGCAAAGTGATCATCTCTATTTAGATAGTATTATTTGTTAATTAGGCCCCAGGATTTACAAAGTGGTGGTACACACCCTTTCTTACTGAACTAAGAGGTGCATAAATCAATGGAAAAAACTCTTCATATAATATTAGGAAGGTGTTCAAAATGATTTCAAATTGGAGAATAATGTAAGCATTTAAAGAGGGAACAACTTTTATTGTGAACACCGGCTCATAGTGGGAACGCCTCAAATGCAAATGCCTCGAATTGAAAAAGAAATACCTTAAAATACCAATGCCCTGAAATGCAAACTTATGTACCTTAAAATGTGAAACTGTTTACCAGTACTTGCAAGTATCTGTGACTATGAGTCAACATGACAATTGACATGCCTGGATATGTTCTAGTGAAGTATTATAGTTTCACTTCCTCATCACAGGACTCTAGGAATTCACTTGAAACCAGGAAAACTTGTCCCAACATCAGGCTCATGATGCAGTGGTAAAACATGATTAACTACAGAGTCAGAGGTGTCCGTCATAGCAGATGTATTCATAATCACATGACTACTTTGCTTTGTGGTTTGTCCTTTCCAAGTCTATTTATAACATAGAGATGTTGTGTTTCTGCTACATGTATTTATGACATGTTGTTCTATTGTTTGTTATAGATGGGTGTGATGAGGTGAAGTGCCCACACTGTGAGAGAGTCCTAGATGATCCAATACTCCTCAAGTCACATATTGTGTCTGCCCACCCTGACCAGACTCCCGTGTTTGTCTGTCCTCGTTGTAACGCCCAATTCCTCCTGAAGTCACAGCTAGAGAAACATAATCTCTACCACTCCCCGACTGTCCAAATATGTAAAATCTGCAACAAGTCATTCGCCAATGTGTATCGTCTTCAGCGCCATATGATCTGTCACGAAGAAAGTAACGAGCTCCGTAAGTTCAAATGTTTGGAATGTGGAAAGGCCTTCAAGTTCAAGCACCACCTTAAAGAACATGTTCGCATTCACAGCGGAGAGAAACCTTTTCAGTGTAATAATTGCGGGAAACGCTTCAGTCATTCTGGGTCTTACAGTAGTCACATGACTTCTAAGAAGTGCTGGGTGGTGGGACCCAGAGCTAGAGGGAGAACCCCAGAGGGATCCCCAGCCAAGGAGATCTCCGCTAATTCTCCATCTCCAGCTAGAATTCCGAGCACAACTAGCTTCATGACTCCTACTTCCGGCTTCATGTCATCACCGACCGCCTCAACGCCATTTCTTCCATTCTTACCCAGGCCATTCCCACCAATAGGTGGCAGTCTTCCATACATGCCATTCAGTAACTTCACAGGTGGTCTCCTGAACCCCATGCACCCCATCAACACCATAAGTCCAGGTTTCATCCAGAAGATGACAGCTGCCTATAGCTTGGCTAGTATGGGGGTAGGAGGTACCCAGGTATCTCCCATTGCTGGACAGCTCCCCTCCATGCAGAGGATGATGTCTCCTGGTAGAGCCAACACTCCCCACACTCCTCAATCTCCAAGCAGTGCACAGTTCAACAACCCTGCAGCTTCCCCCAGAACAGATGAGGGACACAGCACTGATAATGCATCCAATGTTAACCATAGCACACCTACAGAGAAGTACAATAACCAGTCTTCCACAGAGAACCCACAGTCTTCCACAGAGAACAAACAGTCTTCCATAGATGCCAAATCTAAAGAGACAAACGAGACTTCCAGTGACAACAATATCACTAGTCCTTCCAAAGATAAACCCAGTGATAGTGCAGACAGCAACAAGGAGAATGATGCTGACAGTGATGAGTACCATAAAGATGAATCCAAGAACAGTGCAGATAGCTACAGTGCTGTTAAGAAAGTCCTTGAAACAGTCCACGCTACGGTGTCTAATCAACAACAGACCGGGGAAGATAAATCTGCCATCAGTCGTCTGGGAAAAGCTGATGGCCAACTGAACACAAAAGAAGATTTAGTTCAGAGAATACATGAGAGAGTAGAGGAAATCAGTCGTGTGAATGCCAGCCAAGACCAGAAGTGCCGCCATTGTTGTGATACATTCTCCAACCCTATTGAGCTACATCAACATGAGCGCTATCTATGTAAACTAAATAGAGACATCTATGGTGTGTCCGATGGAGTCGACTCACCCACAGGGGCAGCCTCTCCCAGTGTTCACAGCATGGACACCGACAGATCAAACATTGACACTGATGATGAATGCAGTGACGCAATGGAGCCAGATGAACTTGATAAGGATGGGAGATCAAGATTTAGATCACGTTCAATGATTAATGACCATCAGCTAGAGATTCTGAAATCTCACTACAAGATTAATCCCAGGCCACGAAAGTTTGAGTTGATTCGTATTGGGAATGAGATCAACTTCCCTAAGAGGGTTGTACAAGTGTGGTTCCAGAATATGAGAGCTAGAGACAGAAAGAAGGGCAAAGATGTACCATATTTCCCAACAATGGCACGTTTTAAGAATAGGGACCAACCTCCAAGCAACACTCCCCCAAGGGCTACTTCAGATGGTAAATCTGCACCTTACATTCCTATTGTTCCCCGACCATTCAGTAACATGTCAGTGTACACAAGCCAGCCTACACCTACACCAGGGGTGCTTCCCACATACTACCACTCCCCTGCAGGTCCTGTGTCCTCACAAGAAGAACCCCTTGACCTGTCAATTAACAAGAGCAGCTCTTCCCCTGATAATACCCCAAGGCCTAGTCCCACTCACTCCCATGAAGATACAAGTAGCCCCCTGAATCTCAGCATTAAGAGATCATCAAGTGACCGCCCTATGGAAAACTCCAACATCTACCGATATATGCATCAAGAAGGTCTTATATCTCCTCGCTCCTTCAACATGGCAAAGCTGAGTGGCTACCCTCATATAGACAACAATGGTAACCTATGCTCCAAGATGAACCTCCTCCAGGAAGACCTACAGAGGTCCTCTACTCCCGGAAGCTCTATCTCATCACGCTGCAGCTCAAAGGATGACAGTGTCCTCAACTGCAGCTTTGGGTCGTCCATCTCCAACAGTCTCATTGACTTCCACATGAGTGCAGAGGCCAATAGACGCAACAGAAAGAAAACATGGAAACAGGTAAATGTTCTGTTTTAACATCACTTAAAGGGTGACGCATATCGTTTAGCAAATCAAATGCTCATTTCTGGTGTTGCTCACCGTTAAGTATAAAAGGCCCGATCCCGGAATAATACTCAAGGGTTCACAGGCTCGAGGTCGTTGTGTCAACACCTCTAACTGTTCTATAACATAAGTATATTATAGATTGTCACACATTTATAAAAGGGAGGTTTTTATTTTGACAAATCAATTGCACATTTATGAGTGAAGTTTCAGGATCTTCTATTTGAGTTATAATAAAGAAAAATTGACATCTTTCCCCCCATAACGTAATAAGCTTAGTACACAGCTTGGCATATGAAATATCCTCCAAATGAAACAAAGCAGTTCTAATACAAGAATTTAGATTGGCTTTGTACATGCATTCTTTGAACAATCACTCTCTGAATAATGTTTTCAGAAAAATTATAAACGGATTATTTTATCTCCAAGAAAATTTCAATAAACTCGATTTTACAAAACTCCTTATTTCTTCAAAATGGACTGATCCAGTTGACTCACCTGGAGCCGCCATATTGTTTTTACACGGGAAGCTTATCAGAACCCTTAAAGCCATACAAAAATTTACATAATTGAAATAAGTGTTATGTTTAATCAGGAATAATCTTTCAAAGGTTTTATTCACTGTTACATTGACTAGACCATTCATTGCATGGTATTTCCTTTTATTTTAACTTTACCATCTGCTTAATTTACCAATTCAGTAATAGGATTCAAACTTTATCAGTTAAAAATGAACATTCCTAAAATAAACACCGAGTTGATTGATTTTTATAATTGTGGTTGACAAATTGTGATTATTATTGGAAAATGATATATTTATCATTGGCGAAGGTAATTATTCAAAAGGTAATTACAACTATAGGTAATTACGATTTCTATTATTCTCTCAGTGTTGAAAATTTATGATGAACTCTATAGTAATTTCTCCATTGGGAGTTGGTTACCGTGGTAATAGAGATATGCTTGTTTTATTATAACGGGATAAAATGTGCGCTGAATCTTTATAGCTTCAATTAACTGTATGAGAATATTCATCTCATCCCTACAGTTATCCTCCTAGATTGTCTTCATTGACAGTATTGAGTCATACTTTTTATGATTGCCAATTTTTACTAAACTCAGCATTTTATTGATAAAACATTTTGTTTTAGTGCTATTTGATTGCAATGTCATGTTTTTAGTATTAACATCATGAACTCTACAAAGTCCTAGACTTTATTCTCATTTTTTTCTAATTGTTATCTGAGCTGGGCTATTTGTACCAATGTCAATGTACAAGACTGTAGAACAAAGAATCATAAGAATGTTGTATGGGCCATAAAGAATAATCTGAAAGTGAAAATATTTCTTCCGTTAATCCTAAATTATTTCTAATCTCAGATGGAGGCTGAACAAATGCATTTGACTGATGATACAGATGACAACTTGATCGTTGATGAGGAGGGTAACTTTGTGCCCCGTAAGAAGCGCAAGTCGTGGAAACAACACAAGATTGACATAGAAGAGCAGGGGATGTATGCTTGTGACCAGTGCGAGAAGATGTTCAACAAGCAAAGCTCTCTGGCAAGGCATAAATATGAGCATTCTGGTAAGTCAATGTAGGAGTTTTGTGTTAATAGATATGTTTTTAAATGCAAGTGTAACCTGAGAGGAATATATTATACTGAATCAATGTTTAACATGTGTAATTTTAACCAAGAGAGATAATTTTTTCTCTAATGTTGAATTTGTTTTGTTCCATTTTATCCTTTCTATTTTTGAATGTTTTTTAAGCTTTAAAACATTTCATCTCTTTTGTTTAATTTCTAGGAGCCCGTCCGTTTCCCTGCGATATCTGCCCAAAGGCATTCAAACATAAGCACCATCTAGTGGAACACAAGAGACTTCACTCTGGCGAAAAACCATTCGTATGTCGTAAATGTGGGAAACGCTTTAGTCACTCTGGCTCTTTCAGTCAACATATGAACCATCGATATAAATACTGCAAACCACTTATCAATGGGAATGACACAGACTGAACCGTACACAGCTGCCATCTTTTAAACATTCAAAACTTCATTCCGACATAGAAAATTACATTTTGAATTACATGATCCAGATATTCCAGTGTCCAGTTTTGCAAAACACAATGTACCATTCCATAGAATAATGGTATGAAACATTCCACAGATAGAAACTATTTTTGCAAAGAGAATTTCCATAATATGTGTGTTGATATATATGTATATAGCAAGCTGCATAGAGGGAGCCAGAATCAAGAGTTGCCATGACAACAATCTGTAGGGAAGTAGTTTAAATGTGACATCATATCCTGCACAGCTGTTTTATATTGCACAGCTTGTTTGATATGTAACTAAGCTGAGTATAATGTATAGCTTCAGTATTATAAGTCATTTAAATTGACTGAAATTATTTTTTGTGTTGTAAATATTTACAAAAAATCTCAGTTTATATATTTACTTTATAAACTTTACCATATTAGTACCCATGAATACTCATTTATTTAGTTCAGTATTCAAGTACATGTACAGTGTACGTTATAATGCATGACATTTTAAACAATATCGGCTGAGTCCAATATTCTTGCCTTTGTGTTAAAGATAACCCATGACGCATGGGAAATATAGACCTTGTTTTATAGTGTACATAGGATTTCAATATGAAATGAGGCCTGCTAGAAAATGTGCCTCAAATAAGTCAATCGCATCATCTTCAGTATTTCATGTTGTGTTATCTATCACCAGTGACCTTGTAACAAAAAAATAACCTGAAATTCAGTTTCCAATTGTTCCCATTTAGAAGATCTGTTTTCAGTTTCTTCATAAATTGATCACATACAGAAATATTAGCTAATTTCGATTGATTGTTTTGAGATAATATTTTTAGTGGTCTGTTTTTTATATGAAATTTATTATTAGTTGTTTATATCTAGTCTTAGAGGGAAACAGTGATGCCAATGTGCCAAATTATGTACAGAATGATTGTTTCATGATATTATTATGTATATTGCATAGAATGGCAATACTATATGCATTGTTAAATGTATTGCAATAGCTTCATTTGTTGATACAAAGCTGTGTTCTTTGCTTGCAAGCTAATGTGCAATTTATTTATGCACACAGTGTAATTTTAACTTGTCATGTGTTCTCAAAGGTCCATGTGCAGTATGGCAAGTAATTTTAGACAGTCATATGTTTCACCATGAGTACTTTCTTGGTCTAAATACAGTGGTTTTTATTAAAACAATATGTTTTCTTTTAAGTGAAGTCACCGGCCCGTGATACTAAAATATAAATCCAACGCTCTGAAAAATTATGGATTAGGACGCCACTTTGTCACTTTTAAAAAAAACACATTTCCCATGCTATTTTCCCTTAGGGAAAACTCATGCTATCCATTGTTTTCAGCATGATTTTGGTCATCGAAAATTGATATCTTCAAAACTAGACTTTCAATACCATTCTACTCTTGAAGATGTTTTAGACCCCTTGTTGAATAATCTTTTCATGCAATAAAAATCAGAAAAAGAAGATCCTCTTTTGAGCAAATAAGTTCAACATTTTGAAAAAATTGTTGATGTGGGGTCCCTATTTATAATTTTTCAAATTGTTCGATTGATATTTTTATCATCATGGGAAAAACAACTTGTTTTAATAAAAACCACTGTATTAATGCCTAGAAAGTACTCATGGTGAAAGATATGACCATCTAAGATCATTTGCTATACTGCACATGGACCGTTATATTTAAAGAATATGTATTCAGATTTCAAGTCTTCCAGAGTAATGAACTTGTTTACATTTTCATGTCTTCCAGTAAAATATGTGTATTTTTGAATCTTCCTGAATATGTTTTGAGAATTTAGTTTTTTGAGAATACCTGAATACTGGTATACATTCTTCTTAAATATGTATTCAGATTTCAAGTCTTCCAGAAAATGTATTCAGATTTTAAGCCTTCCAGAATATGTATTCAGGTTTCAAGTCTTCCAGAAAATGTATTCAGATTTCAAGTCTTCCAGAAAATGTATTCAGATTTCAAGTCTTCCAGAATATGTATTCAGATTTCAAGTCTCCCAGAATTTGTATTCAGATTTCAGAAAATGTATTCAGATTTCAAGTCTTCCAGAATATGTATTCAGATTTCAAGTCTCCCAGAATATGTATTCAGATTTTCAGTCTTCCAGAAATGTATTCAGATTTCAAGTCTTCCAGAATATGTATTCAGATTTCAAGTCTCCCAGAAAATGTATTCAGATTTCAAGTCTTCCAAAACATGTATTCAGATTTTATTTTATTCAGCAGTAATATTACATACATTTAATACAATATTCGAACAGCTTGATATCCTTTCAAGTCTTGATTCCAAGTGCCAATTCATACTTTTCATATAGACTTCAGATAGAAATGTCTTCCATTGTGTCAAAATTTTGCTTCAAAAGGTGCTAAATACTGGTATGTTTACATTTTAATGATAGATAACATTTTGGATGAGGAATCTAGTCTCCAAAAAAACAGTAATGTGTACCTAGTCTCCGCAGTAACAATTGTTGTACCTCGTGTTCAGTAATGAAATAAGTCTTCAATACCTCAGTCAATCCTTGAATCATTTTAGAATCTTCAGATAAAGTAGATTATGAATCTCCCAGATTTGAAATGCAAATATCTTAGGTAAATATATATATTCACCCTACCTCAATGTAAAGTCATGGCAGAAGTTCAATACACAAATTGAACTATCTAGTAAATGCAACTGATGAAAATCTGGATTTAACTCCCAATAAGGGATTAATAGGTGCCAAAACTCACGCAACAACCACAATATGTTTTAAAAATATAATCAAGGCTAAACGTTCAATTTGTTTTTTTATGGATAAGTTCAATAATATATCCATATAATATATTCATGTTCCAGCCGTGCCAAATTAACACACAGGCTTAAGATGGTTATGTTTTTTACCTTCTTATTGTCCTCGTTTAATATAAACCATTTTATTTGTGTTGTAAAACAATTAATATATTCAATTTATTGTTTTAATATATGTCAGTTTAATGCAAGAAATTTTGAAATTGACTTGCATCAAGACCCATCCCCTCTATTCCTTTTACCATGAACCTGATAGGGCTCTATAGGAAATTGGGGATACATACAAAGGCTTGATGCAAGACTAGAGTGTGTATACTCATAGTGTTTCTAAATAGCCTCCTGTTAACCATCATATCTGAGAGAGAAGATGTGACAGACTATGGTTACAGTTACACAGTAGTTCAATGGTATTGTTACAAAGCATGTTAACAAAAAAGCTTCATAATTAAAGATTTTTTAAGAGTAACACGTCACAAACTCCTTTGCAGCAAACCTTTTTGTCAAAATGCTTTATAACTAAGCAATTCAATAAACTCTGCCTTTAACATTTACTTATGATGAGATGTTTCTAAATAAATCTAGTAACTATTGTATTTACTGTATTTTGGTATATCTGTTAAGTGTGGAAAAAGAATCCAGTTATAATAGTCTTCAGTTGCTTCCTGCACTGCCATGTACATAGCTTTATGTAGTAACCATAGTAACTGTACCTATGTAATCATTATTAGTACATAGAAACAACAGGCGACCATAAGGGACAAAAGTGTGCAAATATTTTCTTTTTTCATTGTTTATCCTTGTGTAATCATTGGTATGTATTTGGATGCTTCCGTATTAGACTTAATATTTTATATACATCTATATCTGCCTCATAGTTTAAATAATGTTACTATAGAAACAGTTCTGTTGTCATAGTTACAGTTAGTTTCTATAGCAACCATACTATTTTGTATTGGTCCACAGCAGAGAATTGTGCACTAGGAGTGTACAGATCACGTGTAAGCTATGCAATGTATTTGACGTAGGAAAGTTTCCAATTGTATTTCTATTTTCGCTTATTGCACCATATTAAGCCCAACCATATAGTAAACCAGAGTTAACATGTATTTTAAGGTATATTATGTTTAGGGTGATTGCAAAAACAGCTTAGTTTGTATGGAGTATTTCTAATATATGTAACAATTATCCAATGCCCAGTGTGGTCACATCTTACAGTGTATATATTATAATAGTGGTATAAAATATAATGTAGACATTTTATTTTGACTTTTAGTGTACATATATTATATAAGCAAAATCTCATGAATATGCATAATATAACTATTGGTATTGACAAACAACAATGAAGAGATTCTTGAGAATATCCTTTATATGTTGTATATCAATAGCAGTAGGGAAAACGACAAAATCCATGTCTTCCAATATGTAACCAGTTGCTATGGCAACAGTGGTTGCTATGTATGATTTTTTTGTATATTATGCATGCATCTCTCAGCACAATCATTATTTCAAACTTATTTTGATACACGTATCCTTTATTTGGATATACATTTTGGTAGGATATAACATGTAGAAGTTAAACATAATTCATTTTGAGTGAATGCTCAGATGAAAATGACTGATTTAGAAGGTGCAATAAAACGTGACATGTAGATAGAAAATAGGGTCTTTAGCCAAATAAGGCATCGTTTACCAACTCAGTATTTTCAATTGTGCATGTTGTGAAATAGTTCATAAAAATTGTATCTTAATTATGTGATTTGAAATGTTTAAAAAAATATAAATGTTGTTTGTATAAGTATATTATACTAGCATATGAGTGTAATCTGGTATTAATTCTGAATATTATTTCTCACAATGTAAGTATATCAAATATAAAGGGAGACTGTCTTACCAATGTGGTTATAAAGCACTTATATTTGCTCTTCTCTCTACAAAGATTAATATTGTCTGTTCTATCATACCAACAGAATAACTGTTGCCATGGCAAAAGTAAAACTTTAAACATGGTGATTCAATAAAGCAATAAAAATGCATAGAGATACATGTACTTACATTGTTAAATACATGGATAAATAATTCAAATGAACTCTTGTCTCCGACAATTTCTGTATATAAATATTGAATTAAAATAAAGATGTACATTTATGTAAACCTTAAGATTTGTTGTCTGTTATTTGTTGGTTTTACTATCACCCAGCCAAGGACTAACGTAGAGAATTAGAGTATTCTTCCCATATACAAGTATTTCAATGAGCTTTTAAAATCTGAGAAAAATAAGAGAAAAGACAAATAGCTTCAATGACAGTAGAAATAAATGATAGACAGGGGGCAATGCCAATGCAGCAGCCTGACAGTCGCTTCTAGGTATCTAAGTACACCAATCTTGGAGAAGGTGTGTCAGCAATAGATGAATTGAAAGCACAGATTCCGTTTTAACTCTTGGCATTGTGGTTGGGTTTAAATTGTATTTTATTTAGATTACTGTAAAACTAATCCATCAAACAGTTAATATTTGAAGAGACCCAAGGATTCAACACAACAATAAAGATACTTTTTCAAATTAGATAGTAAAGACATCTTTCAGCCATGAAGCAAAGTCATTTCATTCAGTTTGAGTGATCAGCACTGTAATTATTGGTTATGCAATTCGTATTTTTTATTGTACCGTATATGCATATGTGATGGCATCTATTGAAAAATCACATTTTAGAAATACCTATAGAAATATATAGAAATTTGCCCTTTCCATTTTCTCATGGATTTCATTGGTTTTGATAATGAAAACAAAATAGCCCCTTGATGTGGTTGCTATGCAATAAACCCACCATTTATCATTTAAGTTTAAAGAACAGTTCAAAGTGTTTTGTACTGAAAAAGAAAATGAGTGGGGAGCTTATCATTCCATTCTTCGTTTAAAATATCAGGTTTTAAAAATGAGGGGCTGTTCACACCTGCATCAAAACTACATGAGCACATCATTTTAGGGGGAATGCTTGACTTAATCCACTGCATTCAACTCCCTGTTCTACCTCTAGGGAGCATGTGTGGTGTCATTAGGTTGCAAAATTTAGAACCCCACATGGGAAACAGACAACAGGCCTGCATTAATTGTGCTTATTTGTTATATGCTGAAATGAAAATTCATATTGATATATGTATATGTTGAGACATCTATGAAAAGAAAACCCAGGCAGCAGAACCATTTTTTCAGTTTGAATAATCCACAGCCTCCCTGCACTGTTATTCCTGGCTGAAGGACCAGTAATGACCCTCAATACCAAGTCGCAACTACAGTCTCCAGTCTTGTGAGTGGAGGGCCCTGTGTAAAGTGTTTGATTCCTGCATGGGGCATTGAATTTAGCACACTCCATGCCAGGTCTAGTGTCTTGTTTGTTACACTACATCCCCCCAAGATGAATGAGCCCAGGGTCAGTGGCGTAGCGTGGGTATTTTTGAGTGTACGCCACGAGGGAGCGAAGCGAACGATCTTTGAGGGGGGTTCGGGGGTGGGTCCTCCCCCAAGAAAATTTGAAAATAAGATTGCAGTTGAAGCGTTCTGGGGCGTTTTAAAATACGAAATTCCGACGAAATGGACTAATGACATTTAAATTATTGGTCATTTTATCCATTTTTAAAGTGTGAGGCAATTCAATCTAAAAATCAACTTTTCTCTAAATTTTGAGAGTACCATGGCGTTTTATGCGTATATGACGCTACGCCATTGAGGGTCATAACAAACCTGTGGATTGTGTAAAGATCAACATTGTGTTTATTGATGCGGGCCCCCATTGATTGTGCTCAATTGTGTTTTCTCTGGATTCATATTTCAAATTGAGTATATAGAAGCATTTACAAAATACATACTAGAAAACTCATCGAGCAGAAACATTTTGAATAATTAGGGAACCAGCTTTTGGTTGTGCCAAATATATTGTGTTTTCTCAGGATTATACATATATTTTTTATTTGGCGCGTCATTGAAAATGACACTCTTCAAACGGCAAGGTAAGCTAAGTTTAAAAGTTCTGCATGATGAGTATGATCAGTCTAATAACGCACTTACGTTGATGCAAATCGTATAATTCTTTTGCTGATCAAATGATGAATGCGTTTAGATATAAGTGATATCATCTTGGTTTAGTTTATGCGCTGAAGTTACATTAAATTGATCTTAGAAAGCGGATGGATGAAAATGTTTTGAATTTTCATTTTGTTTTGAACTCGTGATCATCCAAAACAATCGCAATGTGTTTACGAAAAACACCGACCGCCGACCACCGACCAGTCACTCTCCACAGGGGCCTCCACAGTTGGGTACACGTGGTCAGCTGTCGGTCTTTTACATAACGTAAAGGCTAGAGTACCGAGAATTGTTGGTACGGGAGACATTGCTGTTTTGACACGCTAGAGGACTGACAAATAGATTGTCAGCACTTTAGCCCCTCCTAGTAGGAAACGCTAGAGAACCATATGGCGACACTGAAGCCACTCCTTATAAGATCCAATAGAGGAGATAGGGGCATTCTCGGCCACGAGGCATTCCCGGACAAACCCTTGGTGTCAGGTGAAAATCTGGGACAAAGTTAGAATTTTTACAATATATAGCACCACATCTATAATATGATGTGTCTAATACAAAGTTCCAATAAAGAAACCATATAAAACAAAGAATTATTGAAGATCGTTCGACAATGCCCCGTGTCCGAGATTACCCCTATGTCCTCTAGAGAACTGACCAAAAGTCTGTGGGTCTGCTAAATACTGTAAAACATGCTAAATTTGCAAGCATAGTGATCAGGCCAAAATTTCTTTCAAAATCATGCAGTTTTTCACCATTCTGAATATTTTTTGAGTGATTTTTGGCCAAATTTGTCAAAGTGAACCCCCCCTAGAATTTTTTGGAAAAGTGAACCCCCCCCCTTGGAAAATTCTGGCTACATGCCTGGTGATTTCACCTTTATTTGCTTCAATGTAGAATTGCGAATTTAAAGCTGTGTAATTTCCTGAGTAATGTGGATGAATTAATGGAACAAATGAAGAATAGAATCTACTGGTCTATTATTTCAAATTGTGTTTTCATGGGCGTAGCGCCCGGTACAACCAAATTTCAAAATTTTCCTGGGGGACCCCCCTGAATCCTCGTTTTTGGGATTCTTGACTCTTGTTCCTGTGGTGGTGGCGTAATACTTAGAAAATAGCGCTACGCCCATGATTTTGTTTATTTTATTCAAGTATTATATGCAATTCTAAAACAAACGTGAAGAAAAACATTAAAGTCGTATTTGAATACATACATGCTGTGTTAATAAAACATGTACAATATATAGTTAGTTAAAAGAACGTTTGATATTTTTGAAATACCATCATCAGGGGCATAGCCAGCTACTACTGATATAAAAAGAAATGAGTGAAAACATGAGTGAAACTAGTGTATTTATTCTTGAAAATGTCGGTCCTCTATCTTGCCCTACTAGGAGACGATAGAGTAAAACTAAAACTGGGAATCCTTAATCTACCAAGCTGACAGAAGTCTAGTCCAACAACATTAGACCTAGCCTGGGGCCTCGTTTCTTATCTGACATGTCTTATGTCCTATTAGTAAAGATAGCCCTTATTGAGCTTAACAACATTGAACTAACAGAAGTCAGCTCTGGGAAGTTGGATTGAAAATTCTTGAAGAGAAAAATCAAGCCCATTTTGACTAAACGCTGTGCTGAGTAGCGTTTATAATACATTACTTAGGTCCAAAGCCTTCATTCCAGCTTTGAGTGATTGTTACAGCCGCCGTGGTATTCAATATTTGTAAATCATGGTGACATACGCACAGTTGTTACGGCATAATTATATGAAACATACCTTTATGCATACATTTGCAGAATATCAGCTCATATCCCCGTCGTAGTCGATTGTTATATATATTTTAATTAAGCTAAGTGGAATTTCATTTCAAAATGACCTCTCTTTTTCTGCTGAGTGAGCTGTATAAATGGCAGATCCTTGAGTTTGAGGTTCTTTCCGAAAAGATATTTTGAAATATCTTAATCTAGACAAGCAACGCTTCAACCTCAATATATTCTAATAAATATTTATAAAACCTATTAAATAGGAGTTCTAGGTGCGTGTGACACTTTTTCTAGATTACATACAAAATCAATGAAGTTACATCTTGCTGTAAGCTAGAGACTCAAGTAAATAATACACTATATATTTGAATCAATACATAATTTATTTTTTGTTACCTTATTTTGTTCCTTCAACAGTCTATTATTACATCATGTTCAGAATTCAGTAGACAATGACAACAACAAAAAAAACCAAAGAAAAGATAGGTTGGTTAATGGTAGGTCAGAAACCTAAGGCAGGACAATTAAATCAAGAGGAGATGGCCATGCCCAATTTGTTTGCTTGTCTTTCATTGAAAGGAACAAAATCTGTAAAAATTTGAAAAAATGATTGATATTAAAAATCGAATTATTAATGTTTTAAGGTTATAAATATGGCTAAATATCTCCCTATGTTAGATTCTGGATCTACCAGTAGGAGTCAACTAGATAAGGCAGGGCCTATGCTAGACATCAATTCTTGTATTTGAACTGTCATTCATCTGAACTATTAATCAAATACAAGAATCGATATCTAGGGCCTATGCTAAAAATTCCCAAATATCGATTTCCTTTGAACATTTACCCTATGTGCAGTATTAGTTATAAACTACTGTCTGCATAGTAAAGACTATATTACAGTTTAGTAGCCCCACCCCACAACCTATGCCTGACAGCCGGGGTCATAAGTCAGTGTGGAATCTGTGGATGTATAAAATAAATTGCATTTCTCTGGTGTTATCTTACATATCTATAGCTCAAAGGCATCTTGATCATTCATACAAATTGACACAATGATAGAAGTTGACAATGCTGTGCCTCCATGTGGTATTGTTTACCTACTGAGGATCGTGCACAAGCAAGATCCAGTAGGTGTAACCTATGTCAATTCTTTCAAGGTGGCACAGGCAGAATAGCATACCACCAGCGCCTATTAGTCTTACTTCAGTCACTCCATATTTGTTGCTTTATTTCAGCCTTGACCTAAGACACTATGTCTGGTGCAGATGATACAAGTCCTCTATACATTGGTGTTGATGTTGGGACAAGAAGTGTCAGAGCTGCACTGTTCAACAAAGCAGGGTTGTCCATCAAGACCAGTGTCAAACCAATAACAATTTGGAACCCTAAACCAAACTTCTATGAACAATCGTCAGATAATATTTGGGCCTCGTGTTGTGCTGCTATCAAAGTGAGTTTGTTGTAACATGCATGATGCTTTAGTTATAAGTTATTTTGTTTTTATATAAGTTATTTTGTTACAAACCATTCAATGTTAAATATCAAATGTCTAATATATGGTTGCCGTTGATGTTTCCAAATGTATAGTGGATGTCTTCAAATGTATAGTGGATGTTTTCAAATGTGTGTTGAATGTATTCAAATGTCATGGATGTTTTCAAAATGTGGGGAGGATGTTTTCAAATGTGTGATAGATGTTTTCCTTTTCAAGATTATGTAACATTATATTAACAAACTTATGAAAAAGTCCAATTATGGGCCCAGGCATTAGTGCCTTAGTGGGCCATGGTGAATGTGATATTCGATGGGAAAACTTTATGTTGATTCCAGGATGCCTGCCTTGGGGTGTCACCAGACAGAGTCAAGGGTATTGGAGTGGATGCTACATGTTCACTGGTAGTACTAGACAAGAATGATCAACCCCTCTCTGTGAGTCCAACAGGTGAGAAAATTGTTTTTTATGTCACCAAAAATTGGTGAAATTGTTAGTCACAACTTTGACTGGTATTCAGTGTCCCCATTCAGCATCTGTAACAATTGTTACACTTTTGTATTTGCAACCAGTGGGTCACATTTCAATGTTAATGCCATGCATCATAATATTTTGTTCAATGTTGTTATTCTGAAAACTTTCATGAAAATCTAAATAGAGAATCTACCTGTCAAAGCAAAGCATTCTACTTAAATCAATTGTTGACATTGTTATTTAATTTTTTTTCTTCATTCTTTCCTTATTGATGAATGATGTGTTGCCCCATTTTAGTGTCCATGTTTTGGCATAAAGCTGACATTTTCACTATCCCATAATTTTTACCTACATGGGATTATGGTGGACTTTTAGGAATGAAGGAACAGAATGTAGTTATGTGGATGGACCACAGGGCTCAGGAACAAGCACAGAGAATTAATTTGACCAATCATGATGTCCTGAAATATGTTGGTGGTGCCATCTCATTAGAAATGGAACCTCCAAAACTACTTTGGCTTAAGGAGGTAAGTCTATTAGAAATAATATGAATAGACATTTTAAGATATAGCATGTTTTTCTTTAAAGTTTACGAAATAATACTGTAATATGGTCAAGATATGCACAGATTCAAAGGAAGGTTGGGAATTTTACACAAGTTTTTTTGTCCCAGGGGGTGGGTGGGATCTTGACAGAGCTTGTTCTTCATTCTGGAATTAGAGACTTTTGAAATGCTTATTTCTGGTAATCAGGATTTTACTATATTTGATCAGCTATTGTTACTCCCAAGATGGGGAAATTCACTCACCGGGTTGCTCCCAGGTTTCAGAATTTTTATTTGATCAAAATCCCCATGCCTTCCTCTGTGAGGGGTCTCATCACAAACCTTTGAATAGTACACTATAGCCACCACTCTTTGTGACAGGCATTTGGCAGTCAGCTTTTGGTGTCAGTAACAAATTATGACACTTAATTCAATAACCATTTGTAATAACTTACCAGCAGGTGTTATTTTTCCATGTCAACATTGCCTTGTTTGCTCACATGGTTTGCTTATATGATGATATAATAGAAAAATGTATTTTGGGAGAAATATGATTTTATTTTTGAACCATCATATTGTTTTGTGCCTTATTTCAGAACATGAATGAATCCTGTTGGAACAAGGCTGGATCCTTCTTTGAGTTGCCAGATTTCCTGACTTTCAAGGCAACTGGCTGTACAACCAGGTGAGATATGAACAAACACACCTTGTGTATTTGTGTCATCTTGTGATGGTGTTCAGCAGTTTGTGTTCAGTCGTTGGAGTTCAGTGGTAGGTGTTTGGCGGTCACCATCTGTAACAATGCTGGTGACATTTTACATGTTATTGCCTTTACTTGTATCACTTTACTGGCCATTTTTGATGATAGAGGTATGGTTATCGTTTTCATCATGCTCATCAATAACAGCTGGTTCATTGCTGTACCCAGTTGCAAATATGAAAATTACATGCCACTGTTGAAAATTTGTCTACATCCATCCTGCCTAAATGCCTACTAGTTTCAGATATTTTGACCATTTCAGGTACTGTAAATTGCTTTAATCAAATTTTGAAATTTTGGCTGCTATTTAATCTGGCGGATTGACCATCATCAATCGTATTACTCACTTCACACCTCGCCACCAATAATGCAATTTCATCTCTCCTGGTATCAGATTGTTTTACCTAAACCAGTGGGGACTCTGTAGGTCTTCGGAAATAGTTTAAGATTTACATTTTATCCATGATTCAGTCTAGATTTTCACCAAAGTTTTATCTTGCAAGGCAACACATGAATAAGGCACCGAGTGAAAATTCCATGTTTTCATTGAAGAAAATTGGCGGATACTTAATTTGGTGGTTTCAATCCATCCTCCAAATTAAAACGGCTGTCAAATTGAAGCACTTCACAGTAATTGTAGGATTTGGCACTTTTTGAGAAACTTTTGTTGTTGAGATCAATATATTCAGCAATCAGCTACACCTTCCCTCATTCACTATGGTTTGGAATTATATTGATGGAGAACACCAGAGACATTGAGAGACACATACAATATAATATCTCACTCAAAATAAAAATATGGAAGAGATGTATAAAATTAAATGGATACCTACCTTCAATAAGCTTTCCAAAGACAATTTGAAGCTACAGATTAGATATGTATTTTATTTCAGTTGAAGCTTAAGCCAATTTATGCAGTAGTAAAAAGCCCTCACGGCTCTTCCCCCACATCTGTTTTGTAACATTTTGTCCACACTCATAACATGGGTTATATTTACAGGTCACTATGTTCCATGGTGTGCAAGTGGAGTTACTGCATATCAGAGGGGGACACTTCTAAACAAGGCTGGAGTGACACCTTTTGGCAACAAATAGGACTAGATGACTTAGCAGAAGCTAATTATGCAAAAATAGGTAGATATATGCAAAAATAAGTAGACATATGCAAAAATTAGATGCATATATTCAACAGGATTTTGACCTTACAAGCAAAACTGTGAAACAATTAATTCTGTTTGAGTACTCTTATTTGTTTTTATAACTCTGTTATTTGGAAAGTGGAAAGAGAATGCATGAATAGTGCATTCAAATGATATCATTATCCCTCCAAACAAAGTTCAAGGGGGATATAGGAAAGCCGTCTGTCTGTTCGTCTGTGGAAAGAGAGTTCTCAGTAAACATGAATGGCTGTATTACAAGTATGGTTTGACTAAATATGCACTTATGCAGTCCTGGAAAAATACCTGGATATGGATATTGGGAAACTAAAGCTTCTGAATGTGAACAGAAGAAATAAACTAGATTGTATTATTAAGGGATATAATTTTTTTATTTTCAATCTTATAAATGATCAATAAGGAATCGTGATAGCTGATAATCATTGAATATCTATGGAATTAATTAACTAGAATTGAACTATTTGTAGCTGGCTTTCAAAGCTGCTTGCCCTGTATCAGATTAGACTATATCTTCTAGTCTAAAATTTTTTGAAATTTAGAATGAAAATATTCAGTATATTCAGAAAATATTCATATTCATAATATATATGTTATAATCCGGGATTGAAAAATATTAGTTTACATAGGAAGTGCCATTCAAAATGGCCAATGAAGTAAATTAATTTGCATATTTGTTACTTCCCCTAGCTTTATTTCCATTTGACAATAAGCTGTGTTACTTTTTGTAGCATTTGATTGTACCTTACTACTTAATTGAATTGTTATAATGTTTATTTTTTGGGAAGTGAGGCTTCCTAAAATTGATAATTTTGTGCACAAAATTTCCTGTTTTTATCCACAGGAGGGAATTGATGATCAATAGACTGAATTCTCAGGATATTCAGTCCATTGGATGTAGACTACGTATTAGATGGGAAGGATTCCTTTTTATTATGTCCCCACCACATAGTGTGGGGCCATATTGTCGGCCTAGGCGCGTCCGTCTGTCTGTCCGTCTGTCCGTCTGTCTGTCCGGCAGTTTTCTCCAAAACCGCTACAGATATCACCTTCAAATTTTCAGGGATAACTTATGAGTGCATACAGATGTGGATGAAAAAAAATTAACTCGATACCTACTTCCTGTCGGCCATTTTGAAGTCAAATGCTAAAATCCTTGTCTGCAAACTTTAAGAAAAACTGCTTCACAGTTGCTTTTAAAACTTTAAAATCTTGTTCAACTCACTTCATTCTAGATCTGATTAGGTTTTGGACCTGCTAGCTCAGTCATGTCAGCCATTTTGAATGTCTTAAGAAAAGTTAGCGCGCGATAATACTTTGTATCATATTGAATGTTGTTTTTGAGTTTTCATACTTTAACTATTTAGTACCTTTATAAATAATTTCAGATGTACTTTGCTGTAAAAGCCTACTTTATTGTTAACAGTAGTTATATGTGATAATTTTGTAAAAAGAAATCAGCAAAAACTCATAAGGACTTTTTTATTGTCGGCCATTTTGGATTTTTCGGTCCTAAAATCTTGTCTGTGAAGTCTTGTCTGCGCGTTTTCAGGTGAACCGTTTGGTGGATCAATTTCAAATTTTCAGGAATGATTCCTAGTATGAAAATCTAGAACTGATTAGTTTTTTTGCATTCTGGGTAAATGTCAAGGCAGCCATTTTGGATTTTCCGTCTTAAAATCTTGCCTGTAAAGTCTTGTCTACGCGTTTTTAGGAGAACGGTTTGATAGATCAATTTCAAATTTTCAGGGATGATTCTTTGTATGAAAATCTACATCTGATTACTTTTTTTTTTTTGCATTCTGCGTAAATGTTAAGGCAGCCATTTTGGATTTTCTGTCCTAAAATCTTGTCTGTAAAGTCTTGTCTACCCGTTTTCAGGTGAACCGTTTGGTAGATCAATTTCATATTTTCAGGGATGATTCTTAGTATGAAAATCTACAAACAGATTAGTTTTTTGACATTCTGGGTAAATGTCAAGGCAGCCATTTTGGATTTTCCATCCTGAAATCTTGTCTGTAAAGTCTTGTTTACATGTTTTCTGGTTAACTGTGTGACGGATCAATTTCAAATTTTCAGGGGTGGTTCTTAGTATGAAAATCTAGAACTGACTAAATTTTTGGCATTCTGGGTAAATTTTAAGGTGGCCACTTTGGATTTTCCGTCCTCAAATTGTGTTGGTAAAGTCTTGTCTACTCATTTTCAGGATAACCATTTCACAGGATCACCACTTGGTGGGGACATTTTGTACACATTTGTGTTCTTGTTAAACTTGGTCTGGTTGGGTAAGACCTTTCAATATGTTTCCTCACGGTAGATGTGTTTCCTGAAAATTGAAATTATATGGATAATACAGATGTGCAGTAGGCTAGGTGGGGTGGGGAGTGTTTAGCCAAATTCTCAACCTGACTTAGGACCTAGGGGAGGATACATGAAAAAGTGTATATATCAGTCATAAAAATGTTACTATGAGTGGGTAATAGAAGGCAGTTACAAGATAGGGAATGAATTGAAGTCTAATAAAGATCGCAGTCTACTCTTATTTTTAAAATAAAATTTTTTGTTATTTACAAAAAGCTTCAATCACAAAAATTGGAAACCTGCAGCGTATCTTAACGTCGTGTTGCACAACTGACATATAGGTAGTCGGAATGATGGCTCAAATGTGCCAGGAAAGTACTTTTTAATTTACAGTTGCAACATATTCTCGAATTTGGTACCGTTAGAAAGCTTGTGGTGCCTAGATTTGAGATCCACTTGTTAGCAATTATGAAATGTGGGCCGAATGTGTCTAAAACGCCCGTTTCCATGGTAACCACAAAAATATGGTGTTAATAAGCAGAAAATTGTTTTCATGCATAACTTTACTAATATTGCTCCGATTTTAATGAAATTCGTATCAAATTAAAGAGAATTAAAAATCCCATTTTTGAAAATAACATTTATGCAAATTAGCTCATTTGCATATTGATTGTGACGTCATCACTGCATTATTTTGCGTATTTTTTGATAAACGGGTATATTTATTTCAGTACAGTAATGTACAGTTACAACATATTCATGAATAGGGTAGACGTATTCTCTTCGGAGAAACGGAATACTTTCAAACATCCAACTTAAGCATCGCGGAGAAAGGTTCTTTTATGGTTTTACTAGCTCTTTGCCTAATACTTCGAAAACTGTCCGCCATTTTTAAAACACAAGTGTTTCTGTGCGAAATTAATTCACGCCCGCAAATATAATTATGATCCCTCGAGATGTGGAAGCACAATGAAATATCCAAAGAGATGATTTTGTTACTGTATGGATCGTTTAAAGTTGTTCAATTGTTGTTGAAATGAAACTTTCATTCGCTATTTAGATGAAATAGAGCTGTAATTATTTGCGCAAAAATGGACAATAAAGGTAATATAAGGTCACTATCAGTTCCCTTGGATGGTTAGAATCGTTACTAAGATGTTCTAGCAGACAGAATTGGCCTAGAATTATATTTGAAATATATTTTTTATGACCAAATTAAGAGATAAGTAAAACGTATAATGGTTTTTGGTTTGTTTTCTCATTCATACTCGCTTTAATTGATAACGAGCCATACATAAGACATACCTTGGTCGGTAAATGCATGTCATATGCATAATATATTAAGTGTCAAACTATAATGTCAAAATAGCACTTTTGAACAGCAAAACCTTGTCCAAAAAGTTCCAATGTTATCGGACATCGGACCCGATGTAATCAATGAGTAATATTATAAAGATCCGAAAATATCTTGAGTAAAGGATCTCAGAATCCGAACATTACTTGAGTAAAATCTGTTAAGATCCAATGATATCGTCGAGTTTATGCAAGCTGATGATGGAATAGTGTTAGGGTTACTTTTTGGGAGTTTTCGAACCTTGATTTAATTGCTTTATTAGAAGGGTTCCTCATTATTAATACTATTGTAACATTTTGACCCAGACTGACACAACAGAAATTAGGCTATCAACACTGTGGGATAGGAATTGCGTGGAATTGCATTGAAGTAAATTATTATCTATATTTATGGATAAAAATGAATATGTTTCACGTTCCTAATCTCTACAGGTCAATTTTTTTCATTTTAGTAGCCATTGTACTGATATCTTATCTTATTCAAAATTGAGAGCGAATGAGTATATCGGGTCTGCTAACTTTTACATTTTAGACCAATCAAGGGGGAATTATATCATATTATATTATATCCCGACGCCAGGAGTATATGATAAATTAACAGGAATATTTGTGATATACGTCATGTTATTATATGATCATCCGAAAGCCTACTCACTATCTCATCGGGTTTTACTCACAGTATAATCGTAATACTCAGGCGGTAGCATCGGGTCCTGTAGAATCGTACTCGAGGTATAATCGGGTCTTTCATTTTCAACTTTCACTGGTGATTTCAATGATATGCAACATATGGCAGTAAAACAAATGTGATATATTTGCACCTATTGTATCTTTGAATCGAATGGAGTAAATACAGCCATGGTTCCTACTTATTTAAGTTGTAAAACATCATTCAAATATTTAGAAGTTAAATTTAGCAATTTGATAGCAAATATTGCATTAAGTACTCATCATTCTGTCATCATATTATCATATGTCAGAAAAGAATATTTTTGAATTTACATCACATTGAGAAAGAACAAGGGGCAACATTAAAAAACAGATGAATTGATTAACAAGTCAAAAATGCATATCAATAAATAAAATATTTATCTGCTTTATTGAGATCAAATGGTCATATACAGTTTGTTTTAAAGTGGCAGTAAAATACTGAATTTATTATTTCACATCACAGTGAGGAAGCACAAAGGGCAACATTTGAAAACACATAAAATATAACAATTTCTGAAAGGTTACTCTAGGCTTACATAACTGTCATACTTCTGTGGATGAGCACATTCATGTGTTTGTTTATTATAAGAGACTCTATGAGCTATCATCATCTTCTTCATATGACAACATTTCAGGCATATCTTTTGATTTTAAAATGTCAAACTTTGTGGCCATGAACAACACCATCCAATGATTGCATTAATACTATTACATACAACTGGATCTGGGTTATACTCCATCCATGTATGGTGAGATTAAGAGGACACAAACATATTACTGGGCTTTTACACAAGTTAGGCCATATGTTTCTTGTTAAACAATGATGGTTTATTTCCCATTCCCTTGAAGAGGGTCCTCTGTGTATCGTTTAGATTGGTTGGCACACCAAAAGTGAGTTGACATACATCATCTGCAGCCTAAACTGGGATGTCCTCAAAAGAGTCCACTACGATTTAGATGTAAAAAATTTGAAGACACTCGGTGCAAAATTGACAAAATGCCAGCACCAGTCCTGTTACTTTTGGAACACCCTGTACAGTTCCCTTTGTTTTGGACATTTCCTACTGATTGTGACTTATAGTATATTTCTTCTGCACAATAAAGTTGAGCTTGATTTCTAAATATGAACATTGGTATGATCGGCCAGTGAACCTCGATAATATAAAAGATTATTGGTTGACAAAAATGATGCCTGTCAAATGTAACAATCATCTCAATTTTGCATGTTCATTTATATGAATGTATAGAAAGGAATTACATGTTATTATGTTGTTTAGAGCCATGGTAAAAATATATATCCCTCTCTAGAGATCATGCTTCAATGCGAGTATAAATATTAGTTCATAAAATGATAATATGAAATAAGAAAATATACTTGAATATATAAAACACAATTATCACAATCATTTTAAGGATTTTCAAAATGGCTTTCATCATTTTATTTCATGCTGAAAATTGCATAAAAGTTCCATTTTTGCACAATCCCTGGTCCTTACCTAGATTTTTACATATCTCGAGAAAAAACTTAGAAGTACACTTTTCCCTTACTACATATAACTTTCTAGGTAAGAACCAGGCGTTATATGAACAAAGCAAGAGTTAATTGTGACCTCTAAAAACAAGTAGGTCAAAACAATTGCAAACATAACTAATCCCTACTCAATGACTATTGAAATATGGATATTTATGTGTACAAAATATAAAGCCAATGAGTGTATAGAGTGACACAATCAAACAATGGGACATCTGCCAAGTTGGGTTCATACATTCTGAAACATTTTCTGAGACTGATAAAAAATTCACATTTTTACAGGAAGTGATACTTTCCTCCCAAATCAACCAAAATATACATATATCAGTAATGTTGAATGTTTTATCGCTATTTCTTGAAAATATACATATTTATCTACAATTTGATCCTAAATATCAAGGATGACATTGCATATTTCAAAAAATGTTAAGTGACCCCAGGGGTGTCTATAGCCATTCGTTCTTTTATATGCTGCTAGCTAGGGACAAAGGATATCTACTTAAGAGATTTTCAAGATGGCAGCTATATTTTAAAATTGCCACCATTTTTTCGTAAACAAGATGGTGGCTGTATTTCAAAATGGCCTCCATTTTTCGTAAAAAATGTAATCTTTGGTATCCTAAATACCATTGAATGAATTTGGTTTAAATTTTAGAAGCTGATATGCTCTGTTCAAGATGAATTTTCAAAATGGCCACTAATTATCAAAATGTGTTTTGTTCCATGGGATTTGCTACTCCATGGAGTTGCTATTTTGTAGTTTCCTACCACTTTTATTCTGTTATTTATTCTTATTTGTATAATTTTAGACCAAACCATCCTGCCCCCAGGCACAGCATGTGGATCTGGCCTGTCTGCCAAAGCTGCTGGTGAAATGGGGCTCAATCCTGGCACCCCTGTGGCTACTTCCATCATTGATGCACATGCTGGTGCTATTGGTAAGGATACCAAGGAGCATTCTAGTGAAGTGTAGTTTTGTGATGGGTTTGACTTGTTAATCAATGAAATCTATATTGGTTATACCAAGTTGATAAATTATTGTGATAAAGAACGTTTAGTGATATTTCTTGAATTTACCAAGTTTATGAAGAATTAGAATGTATTTGATATGACTTGTGTATGCTTTTGATTGTAGCTTGAATAAGTTTAGTAATTTTAAGAATGTACAAGGTTTGAATTTTAATCAGAGTTAATAAACTTATTATTTTACAAGTGACCCAATGAACTCTAGGTTGTTTGGGATGTGACATGAGTGTTTTACAAAGCAGTGAGCCATACACTAACAGACTCATCCTTATATCTGGGACCTCCATGTGTCATATGGTGGTAAGTACCTGTAATAGGACTGTCAACTGAATATGATTGCTTGCTTTTGAAATATACTCTCTGATATTGCAGTCACAACTAAAATTTACATTTGTATTTTGGTTTCCTTTATTTCAGTACATTATTAGATGTAGAAGTGAGTCAGGGATGCTAGCTGCTTTTAAAACTTGCCTGTTCAATAAGTACCAAATCCTGTCTACATATCTACAAAATAATTGCTTAAACTGTTGGTCTATATATCAGTTTAAAAATCTATTATTCTCATTATCTTAAGATCTACAAACCATGAATAACTCTCTGGAGTCTGGATACCCTTTTCCCATCCCCTCCCCATTTAACCATCTCATTTGTCAACTCTTTGTTCATGAGAGAATTGTGAGAGCTTAAACAAGACTAAAGGTAAAATATTTTGTATTTATTTTAGGTTAATAAGAATCCTGTGTCAGTACCAGGGGTGTGGGGACCTTTCTACTCTGCCATCATACCTGGTCTGTGGGGTCATGAGGGGGGACAGAGCGCTACAGGCAAACTGGTAGGTATGACCTGTCTAAATTGAGCACTGCTTGGACTGGCTAAAGTGTTCACATTGAAAGGTGTTCACATTAAGTTTTTGGCTCACACAGTGAGCATATGGGATTGACCAGGCGTCTGTCCGTTGGTCCGTCCGTCCGTTGGTCCGTCCATCCGTCAACATTGGCCGCATAAATTAAAACTGCTATTCAGATTGAGTCATATCCACATTCATTTTATGCATATCCATAATGCCTATTTGACCTATCATCGCCATTTCCCAAGTTGGCCCGGTTTCCGAGAAATTGCGGATTTTGACGTCAAAAAGTCAACTTTTCTGTAAATACTAGACACTTTGTTGAAGTAGAACTTTAAGTAGTTGGTGTATATGCAACTTATGTCCTCTGAAGATTTCAAAGCTCTTGGAATTACGGTTTTTGGTGTTTACTCTATAAAATTTGAAAAAAAGTAGGACTTAGTCATTTTCAGGAAACTTTCTCATGTATAGAGTCAATGGCAGGTTTTGTGATTGACAAGATTCTTAAAGTTTGCCTTATACTTGATCATTTCCTGCAATAAATTACATCATTAATAGATTTAAGCATTCCCTACATATTTCTCAATATATGTCTGCATCAAAGGAGGAGGGAAGTTAGCGCAACAGATTTTAGACAGTCATATGTTTGATTTTGGCCATTTCCTGGGGATTTAAACAGTTGCATATGTTAGGCGAATTCATTACCTCCAGGAAAATCACTTCTAGAGATGATAAAATAATTTTGACTTTGAGACAGGGTAGATGCAAACAACCCACCCACATGTTTTTTCTGAAATGTTTTCCTGATTTTCAACCCCTTCCATTTTTGCTTTTTTAATTTTTCTTGCATCAATACGTTGCGTTTTGACACACAGTTAATCCCTTAAAAGGAATAAATTATTCCTTTTAGATAAAGTGGAAAACAATATTTCCCATGTTATTTTCCCATAGGAAAAATCATTGCTTTCAGCTAAGTTTGGTCACCCATAATGGGTATCTTTAAAACCCCTTAAGGAATCACTTATTCCTTTAAAGTGGTTAACTATGTTTCAAAATGTAACATATTGATTTAGTTGATGCAAGAAAAATTAAAAAAGCAGAGATGGAAGGGGTCGAAAATTAGGAAAACATTTCAGAAAAAACATGTGGGTGGGTTGTTTGCATCTACCCTGTCTCAAAGTCGAAATTATTTTGTCATCTCTAGAAGTGATTTTCCTGGAGGTAATGCATTGGACTAACATATGCAATTGTTTAAATCCTCAGAAAATGGCCAAAATCAAACATATGACTGTCCAAAATCTGTTGCGCTAATTTCCCTCCTCCTTTTTACCGTTTTTGAAATATTTGACGTTAAAAAACAGTAAAAATAAGTTATTTTTCAACTTGCTTCAATTTGACCAAATCTTTTTTTGAAAATCATCTACAAGTTGCCAGGAGTTCAAATCTGACATTAGTTTTAGTTTAGGATCTGACCTTTACTTGACCTTCAGTGACCTTCGAAAGGTCAAAAAAGTTGATTTTTCAAATTGATTTTTGGATGTAAATTTTGGTCAGCTTAATCACAAAAGACCTTACTGAGCTCTGAATAAGTAAAATTTTCAAGGTCAAAGGTCATCAAACTAGGTCACATAACTATGCTATCTAAGTTTCTCAAAGTTCGAGACTACAAATCCAAATCAATATTTTTGTTTGGAAGTCAGGATATAAATTCCTCTGAAGGTTCCAAACTGTGTGAGCACAGGACCGTGGGTCCTTCATTACAATATTGTAACAAATATGAATAACCTATAAACATTACAACACATGATTGTCACATTATAAAGTATTTAGTATTTTTTGTTGTAATATGCAATGAAGATATACGAGGCCCGATCAGAAAGTAAGTAACCAACTGCTCTTATTTCTTCATATTTTATTCAATCACATTGAAATTTTCACAGTTGATATAGACAATATTAACCTATTAAACAAGACCAATCACAATGGGTTAGCGTCAATTCGATTGTTATTGCTGTTGCTATGGTGACAATTGTTTTGGGTAGGCGGGGCACCCTGTTTTAAGTGTCGTTTGAAGATGATTTGTAGAGTTTTTCTACATGTTGTAATACCTCCAAATATATCAAATTCACATGTAAGACTACATTTTAACTCATAGTTCTTCAAATTAATCGCCATCAAAGTCAATGCAGTTGAGGCAATGTTTCACTCTGTCCTTAAAGAAGTGCAACATGTCACCATTTAATGACTGCAAAACTGCCATTGAAAGCTTTAATGATGGCTTTATTGCCGTCCAAACGAACTCTCCGTAACAACATCTTTGCATCTGGAAAGAATTTAGTCACATGGGGCCAGGTCTGGGGAATGGTGAGCCTGGGGTAATTGTGTGACCATGGAAAAAGCTTCATCTACTGTATCTTCGGTAATGTTGGCTCTGTGGAGGTGGACCATTGACGTCATGCCAGTAAAATTTCCTATCAGCAACATTTGACTGAATTGAAACTGCGCCTGAATCATGACCATCATTATGACAGATATACCCTTGATTTCTTTGTGTCGATGACATATAAATGGGAAAATGGAGCTTAGTTACCATTGTGATAATACATAAAACAAATTATTCAGTCTTGTATAGAAAATTGTTAGTTCATTTGGAGGAATACAGCATGTAGAAAACCTACAAATCATCTCCCAAAGCCGCTTACAAAAGGGTGCCCCACCTACCCAAAACAATCATCACTATAGCAACAGCCATAATAATGGCATTGACGCTAACCCATTGTCCTTAGTCTTGTTTAATAGTTAAATATTCTTTACATCATCATTGAAAATTTCGATGTGATTGAATGAAGTATGAAAAAATGAGAGCAGTTGGTTACTTACTTTCTGATCGGGCCTCGTACAATAACACCATTTTAGATGTAAAAATAATTCCATAACTCTGATAGGAATGTTAGCTCAAAGATAATAGAATGTTTTGATTGATATAATGCTGAACAACAACAGTTGTTCTCATTTGTAGATTGATCATGTTATTGAAGGTCATGCTGCATATGGTGAACTTAAAGAATTGGCATCTGAAAGGTAAAAAGCAGTAAAAGGACATTCGTTTTATAATTTAAAAGATGGAATTTTAATTCATGATGATTAAAAGTCAGTAAGATCAATTCATACCTAATATGACTAAATAATAGTCAAATGTTTAAAACTTGCATTAGTTAATACCTAATATGACTAAATAATAGTCAAATGTTTTAAAACTTGCATTAGTTAACACCTAATAACTAAATAATAGTCAAATGTTTTAGAACTTGCATTAGATAATACCTAATAACTAAAACTTGTTGATTGTTTTAGAACTTGCTCATAAACTAATATTTTATTGATTTTTTCATAAAAATGGGCTCTTGTTGAAATAAAAACTTGAATAGATAAAAAACTTCATGATATTTATTGAAGGAAACAACATGCCCATGATGTTCTCAACTCCAAGTTAGATGAGATGGCATCAGAAAGTAATGTAGAACTGGGACAGCTGACTAAGCAGCTCCATATATGGCCAGATTTCCATGGAAACCGTTCACCCATTGCAGACCCCACTCTTACTGGAATGGTAAATTATTGGTACCATGGGCAATTGTTTTGTTTCTTTATTATCCCATGGAACGAAGTTCGGAGGGATATAGAGAATGCCTCCGTCCATCTGTCAGTATGTACATACGTCCTTCCGGCCAGCTGTCCGGGCAATAACTCAAATACCATTGGCCCGATTTTGTTCATATTTTGTACACATATGCCATATTGGGGTAGAAGTTCTGCTCGAAAGCTGATTTTTTCCAAAATGGCAGCCATTTTTGTGCCGATTTTACAGTTATTTAGGTACAATATGTAAAACTGTAATAGCAATATGTTTTAAATGTAAAAAATGGCAACCATCTTGAAAAACGGTGGCCTTTACACGATTTTGCTGTAACTTGAAAAGTAGTGGAGCGATTGTGTTCATATTTGGTATATGAATACTATTACCATGGCACACTGTCTAATAACACTTTTGGTAGAAGGTGGCCATTTTGAAAAATGGTCGCCATTTTAACATTTTTTAACTCGAAAAGTAGTGGAGCAATTTTGTTCATATTTGATATGTGAATTGCCAAGATCTGAATAGGTTTTGGGTATGCTGGCTGAATTACATGGTGGCCATTTTGAATTTTTCAATTTGGCGGCCATTTTGAATTTTTCAACTTGCTCCAAATTGACCAAATTTTTTTTTTAAAAACATCTACAAGTTCTCAGAAGTTCAAATCTGACCTTAGATTTCAGATTTGACCTTTCGTTGACCTTCAGTGACCTTGAAAAGGTCAAAAATTTGATTTTCGAAATTGATATTTTGGATTTAAATTTAGGTCAGCTTAATTACAAAACACCTACTGAGGTCTGAAAAAGTGAAATTTTCAAGGTCGAAGGTCATCAAATTAGGTCACAAACAATGTTATCTAAATTTTCCCAAAGTTCAAGACTACAAATAAATTCTTGTCATCAAAATTGCAGGAAGACCGCTAGCCTTGTCAACTTGAAATGTTTACAGATGCAAGAGCAGACTAGTGCCAAGGTCTGATTAGGTTTTGGCCATGCTTGGTAAATTGCATGGTGGCCAGTTTGCTATTCAAAGTGCGATATTTATCACTGTGTGTCTTGTTTTACTATAACTCGAAAAATAGTGGAGCGATTTTGTTCATATTTGGTATGTGAATACTATAAGCATGACACACTATCTAATGACACTTTTGGTAGAAGCATCCATTTTGAAAAATGTCCACCATTGTTATAGTATCCAACTTTTTCTGGCTGGTGTTCCTTGGTTAGTGTTTAGCAACTATAAAGCGTTTAGCATGAGCATCTGTAACAAATGGTAGGTGGTGTCATTTTGCATGTTCATTCATTTTTGACAGCATCAAATGTCATTTACCAAATGATTTCTGTTGGCAAAATTCTGAAAATTGATTGTGGACCAAAACATTTAGATATTCAAATTTGTTTCAACTTTACTTTCAGATAAGTGGTCTCACCTTGGCTAATGGTATTCCTGATCTGGCTCTGTTGTACCTAAGCTGTTTACAGGCATTGGCTGTAAGACAAGCTTTATTTTTCATCCATTTTATGCATGAAATCTACACAATCTATTAATGTAAATTGCAAGACAGTCTACCTTTGTTGACAAAACAGAACAGAATTTGCAATTTATTCTTGTTTTGAAAGTTGCTCTGTGTGATTTTGTATCTAGCTATACTCTTTAAATGAAAATGAAATAGTTCTTATAATTAGATATTGTTCGCTTGTATATTGTAGTATGGTACCAGGCAGATAGTGGAGGCTTTAACAGCCAATGGTTATAGCATAGATGTGGTGTGTATGTGTGGGGGACTTCGAAAAAACAAGCTCTTTGTCATGACACATGCAGATGTGCTAGGTATGTCTAATATGAATTACATTTAAGGGACCATAGGGGATATTGTCCCCAAGTATCTTTGTGGAATATGACTTATGAAAGATCCAATTCCACCTCAATATTATACAAATACTGAATGATCAGGAGCTGGATACGGCAGAATACCTATTCAAGAAACAAATATGCTGAGCCCAATATTTTTTCAAGGATAGGTATTCTGGCCATATCCAGCTCCTTGATCATCCAGTATTTGTTTTATAATGCACCTTCTCAATCAATCTTTTGAGTGTGCTATGATTTACTTACATTTTTAGAACTTTTGATTTTTCTAAAAACTCGAACGACTTCCGTCTAGCTATACACCGAACGAAAACGCATTGTCTCGTCCCGGGATATAATTTACATTCATTTTAGGCGTTCTTGTGTTTAAACGATATTAGGGTAATTGTGATTGATAAGTACACTTTTTCCTCTATTTGCCATCAGTTTCTGATGTTAGCTTTAAGTAGAACTCGAGGTATTGAGAAATAAAACTGTTAAGTGGGGAATGTTGCAAAAACATTGAAAAACATATTGGCCAGTTGCAAAAAAATATTCGGCAGTTTCAAAAAATTTTGGCAGTTTTTAAAAAATTACCAGCAGCTTAGAACTAATCAGATTTCAGTATCTAGAGAAGGTGCATAATAAAAAAAATTGTATCATATTCAAACATTGATTTCATGATGTTCTGATTGTAAGCATGCATGAGTGCAGAACATATTTAGACAAAAATGACTAGAACACTCACATTTTAAATATGCATAAACAAACGTACCTGATATTATATCTTTCATATGTTCTGCATAAAATCTGATTGTTGCCTGTCCATGAATGCCTGTTCGATTGTTTGAGATTAGTGAAATTAGTGGATTAAAATGATATCACAAAACTTCATAGGATGTTATATTTATCCCATAGTTCACTGATAAAACTTAACCAAGCATTTCAAAACAACATTCAGTCATTCATTCAATGATGTGACGTCATGAAATAATCACGTTGCAATACATGGTACATTGGCATGAGTTTTCAAATCCATGGGAAGAAGTGATCTGTGGAATATTCTCTATTCTACAGATATCGCTTTTTACCACGCATTTGCAAAATATCATAAATATATTTACATGTTATACAGATTTGACCTCAACTATGGGATAATTATAGGATATTCTATGATTTTGAGGAATATCATTTTTATCTTCGAGGTGATATTGATATCTGCACGAGAGAGCAAAGCGGATGAGTGCATATATTGATATCACCGAGTAGATTAAAATGATATTCTGAAAAAAATCATAGGATGTTCTTATTATCCTACACTTACAAGGAGTGTACTAAATGTATAATATAATTGCAAAATGAATTTCATGCCAAATAGAGTCAGTTTGGCGGGAAATCAACAAGTGGAGTATATCGTCATAATATCCTCCGCATATTGGGTTTTCTGGAGTATATCGTCACGATATCCTCCACCCGGAGTATATCATCACGATATTCTCGAGTTATTCATTTTGCCAATAAATATCAAAGGTGCACGTAAGATATGGCAAGCCATTTTCAAAGGGCTATATCTTTAGTTCGAAGAATACTTTAACCACAAAAACAAAAGGTTTTTTCGACCTAAAAGTACCATTTTTAATAAGTTTAATGCACGAAAACATTGAGCTATGTTACATGATTGATCTCCAAAAGAGAAAAAATGATCTTAATGGGATAAGCATTATCTGATAATCCATTTGTCATTTTTACCTCATAGGCCATGACCTTAGTGCGAAGTGTATGAAAAGATGTCACTTAGAGCGACATTTAGATGTTCCCTATTTTATGCAATGATGTTTATAGATAGAGTTATATATGTTCCATAGATGGCATGATATATTCTACATAGGTGAGTGCTTAATACCCTGAGTGTGTATTCATTGTTGCATAATTGCGTATTATAGAAATGAGCATGGATATGTCAGGTAGCATATGTCAACATGACTGTGTCGTGTAAAGTATGAACAGTAAAACATAAATGTGTTTAACACCTAGTAAAACACATAAGAGGAAATACTTGTTTATATATTTGTATTGTACAGTGTAAATGAATATTTGAAATATTTCACATTTGTGATTCATGATTCAATACCATCTTATTTGAATTAATTGTTCCCATGTGTATCTTTCTTTATCATCAACCATATTGGGTGTTTCGAAAGTGCCTTCTGTAAAGGGGTTTGCTGTAAATGATCTTCGAATAGTGTTATATGTAGTAGTTATATTCAGCACTGTATTGATGTATAGGCCACTTATTAGGGTCATAATTCAATCATGAAGTGCAGAGGCATAGATTCCAAACCAGGAAGTATTTTTGTGTCTGTCAAAATCCATTTGCATCCTAAGCATCCCTACATCTTATCCACATATAAAGCTTTCTAGACATTTCACCCCCTGGACGTTTCACCCCTAGACTGTTCACCCCTTAGACGTTTCACCCCCTGGACATTTCACCCCTTAGACACTTCACCCCCTGGACATTTCTCCCCCTGGACGTTTCACCCCTAGACATTTCACCCCCTGGACACTTCACCCCCTAGACGTTTCACCCCTTAGACGTTTCACCCCCTAGACGTTTCATCCCTTAGACGTTTCACCCCTTAGACATTTCACCCCCTAGACGTTTCACCCCCTAGACATTTTAGCCTCAATTTTTTACTCCTACATATTTCATTCAAGTATTTCTCTTTGTTAGAACTGAATACCCTAAGTCATGTAAATGGCATATATTATAAAACATATTTCCTATTGACACATTTTGCTCAGCAACTTAAGTGAATTTAAGTTTAGCTTGAGTTTGATTAATTAAAATCACAATTTAATTACCAAGTGTTCCAAATAGAATAATCAAATAACAAGTACTGTAAGTCACTAGAATTAATGCAGAGGCGAGTAGGTAGTTACCAGTTTCACCACCAGGTGGCTCGTTCTGGTCAGATAACATGGCGGGTATAGTAGAAAGTTCCCTTTAATTTAAATTTAAGTGGTTCAATTTTCATATAACCCTTATGCATTTAATTGTTATGCAAATTAAAATATATGCAGTGAAAGAAAATGTTATCTGTCCAATACAAGAAGAGATATTTCACTTTTTGTGATTTTGTAACATGGGGTCTATGGGGAATCAACCCGAACTAGAAGTTACATTTTCAAAAAAATTAAATTTTCAAAGTTGATAAACAATTTTCAAAACCAAAGGTTATATCTTGGATTATGACTATTTTCTGACAATGGAGATAGGTTTATCTTTTAGATCAATTCATTACCTCAAAGAAAATTATATACAGAAAAGTGAAACAAACTTGGAGATATTTAAGTACTAATCAACCCATCAATTTTGCAACACACTTTTTCAAAGATGTTGACCTCATTTTCACCAAAAATGCAATCATTTTTACAATGTTTAATGCATGACTATTCTTTATTTTGATGTATCAAATAGTTCTTGAAAGAAAAACTTAATTGCTTTGAGATAAGTGTTCCCCATGTTATTTCTCCATTGAAAAATTTCATGCTATCCATTGGTTTCAGTTCATTTTGGTCATTCAAATTAAGTCCCTCCATTTTTCCTTTTTCTAATTATGCATTCATTGATGAAATGAGTGTTTGGTAAATTGAATTGAATTGAAATCGAACTGAAATGCCTGCCACAGTAAATCCTTGTTATCCCATCGAACGAAGTTCGGAGGGATATAGGGAACGCCTCCGTCCGTCCGTCTGTCCGTCCGTCCGTCCGTACGTACGTACGTACGTACGTCTGTACGTACGTCCGTCCGTCCGGGCAATAACTCAAATACCGTTGGCCCGATTTTATTCATATTTTGTACACATATACCCTATGGGGGTTGAAGTTCTGCTCGAAAGCCGATTTTCAAAATGGCCGCTCATTTAAAAATGGCGGCCATTTTAGTGCCGATTTTACAGTAATTTAGGTGCAATATGTAAAACTGTAATAGCAATATGTTTTAAATGTAAAAAAATTATATAGGACATTAATAAAGCTATAAATGTAGATATTAAAAAAGCACATGGCAGCCATCTTGAAAAATGGCAGCCTTTACTCGTTATTTTACGATTTTTGCTGTAACTCGAAAAGTAGTGGAGCGATTTTGTTCATATTTGGTATGTGAATACTATAAGCATGGCACACTGTCTAATGACACTTTTGGTAGAAGGCGGCCATTTTTCAAAATGGCCGCCATTTTAACGTTTTTTACTATAACTCGAAAAGTAGTGGAGCGATTTTGTTCATATTTGGTATGTAAATACTACAAGCATGGCACACTGTCTAATGACACTTTTGGTAGAAGGTGCCCATTTTGAAAAATGTTCGATGGGATTCGCTACGCTTTGGCGTTGCCGTTGTTCTTATGTGTGTTATTTTACAAGTACGTGTGCGATTTTTCAAAAATTTTAGAGGTGGCTACTTAAAAGCATATTATTTCTTCTGATGACAACTTGGCTAGTGAGCAACCATTTTGAAAATGGTGGCCTTTCTGGTGTGTTGTTTTATGATATTTGCTATTCGTTTGTAAAAATGCCAGCCATTTCTGTTCGATGGGATTCGCTACGCTTTGGCGTTGCCGTTGTTCTGGTTCAAATATAGTATAGAATTACTCAAATGCTTTCCAAAGTAAATCTTTGCTCAAAAATGACATTGAATTCCTGGAATTAAATTACTCAAATGCCTGTCACAGTATATCCTTGCTCAAATATATAGTATAGAATTACTTAAATGCCTACCAAAGTAAATCTTTGCTCAAATATGTCATAGAAATGCTCAAACGCCTGCCACCGTTAATTCAGGGAGCAAATCCTCGCTCACAAATAACCTAAATTACATAACATAGATTACAGCTAATTGATAAAATGATCATCAGGAAATCTGCAACCAAAAATCTTATACAATTCTAATTAATTTCACATCTAATTAATGCCATATC